GTTGTACATTCTATGGTTTTGGACAAATGTATAGTACATGTATCTACCATTATATTGAATAGTATCATACAGCATAGTTTTACTGCCCTGAAAATCCTGTGACCTGCCTATTCATCCCTCCCTCTCTCCCTTCTGGCAACCACTGACATTTTTACTATCTCCATAGTTTTGCCTTGTCCAGAATGTCATATAATTGGAATCATACAGTATGTAGCCTTTTCAGATTGGCTTCTTTTACTTAGGAATATGCCTTTAAGCTTCCTCCATGTCTTTCATGACTTGATAATTAATTTCTTCTTAGCGTTGAATAATATTCCATTGTCTGGATGTACCAGACAATGGATTTATCCATTCATCTACAGAAGGACATCTTGGTTGCTTTCAAGTTTTGGCAATTAGGAATAAAGCTGCTATAAACATCCGTGTGCAGGTTTTTGTATGGATATGTTTTCAATTCATTTGGCTAAACAGCAAGGAGTGTGATGCTGGATTGTATGGTAAGAGTATGTTTAGTTTTGTAAGTAAATGCCAAACTATCTTCCAAAGTGACTGTATCACTTGTAATTATTTAAAAAAAATTTTTATGAAAAATTTCTACATGATTTTCCATCATTGATAACTCATTTGTAAAATAGAAAATGGTCATTCTTCATGGAAACAGTAATGCTCATTATAGAAAGTCAACAATATAAGCAGGTAGATTTTTAAAAATCAACACGTTTCATTCCTCAAAGATAAGTACTCATAATTGTCTGGTGTAATTTCTTTTAGTCTTTTTTCTGTATATAGGCTTTGTGTCACCTTTTAAACTTGATTTTTCTAGAAATCTCACTAAAGATGATGTTTTTCTTAGACGCAGTCCAAATCAAGAATCCTGATTATTAGATTTCCCTGGTGGCACAGTGGTTAAGAATCTGCCTGCCAACGCAGGGGATGGGGGTTTGATCCCTGGTCCAGGAAGATTCCACATGCCACAGAGCAGCTAAGCCCATGCGCCACAACTACTGAGCCTGCACTCTAGAGACCACGAGCCACAACTACTGAGCCTACGAACCACAACTACTGAAGCCTGTGTGCCTAGAGCCCATACTCCACAACAAGAGAAGCCACTGACCACAATGAGAAGCCCGCGTACTGCAATGAAGAGTAGCCCCAGCTCACTGCAACTAGAGAAAGCCCGTGCACAGCACAAGGAAGACCCAATGCAGGCAAATATTAATTAATTAAAAAATAAAATAAATACATCTTTAAAAAAAGAATCCTGATTATTGAAAATATTACAACTTTTAAAAATGTAAAACTAACTTTTATATATAGGCATTTGGGGTACAGTGTAACAGAGTATCAACTTGCCAAAGTTTGTTTCATTTCTCTGAGGTAACTTATGTACCAGTGTTCTCCCAGCCTCCACTCTTGTCTTTTCTGGGACATGTGACTAGAACCAATATAATTTCATTTCAGTTTCAGTTGGAATCAGCTACAATTATTTTGGCTTGGATTTGGTTCAAACTGAAAATGTGTTCCAACTACTTGGTTTGAACCAGACATTTTGCATCCTTTTCCGGTTAAGGTTTTATAACTAAACTGTCTAGGGCCATTAAATGACAGTCAAATTTGGCTTTTATTTACCTCTAAAAACATTGCTTCTTAAAATGTATGAATTCTAATATATACTAATGTTACTAGATTGCCACTGGAAAAAGTCAGAGGCCCTGAACTTGGTAGAATTTGAGGAGAGCCCTTTAGACAAACAAGCAAAACAATGTTAGCTGCCAAAAGTGAGATTGGTGGACAGGGTCTTTGCTAGACTCCTATGCTGCTGTGCTACATGGAAAAAATTTACACTTATACCATATCTATAGAATATATATATCTATATCTATAGAATATTCTATATCTATAGAATGTTAGGATTGCACATTCTAAAGCTGCTACTTTAAACTCATCAACCAGGTTTGGACAGACCAAGTTTAGCTAGGCTCAAGTACAACATAGCTGATCTATTATCTACTGATTATACTCAATCAGAGGAGTTCTGTTAACTGTTAAGAATATTGGGTTCTTTCAACTTTCTTTGGCCTCCTTTTCCAAGTCATTGATCATACTGTATAAAATCCTTTGTTGTAAGGTTCCAAAAACCATTTGGAGAAATGTAGAATACAACAAAATGCTTAAATTGACCAATTGATGTAGTTCATCAAATCTTAAAGTACATTAATTGAATGCAGTATTATTTTATATACGATTAAGAAAAAAAATCTACCAATTAGTTGTAAGATGCCGTTGACTGTGAGATGCATTTCCATTTCAGAAATGTTAAAATGAACTGTTTCTTAAAAAGTATGTCTTAGAATTGATTAACTAAAATAGTGATGTTTTAAAATTTCCACTTGTAGTGTTATTTCCATGCTAATATACTATTGGGCTATAACTTTATCAACCAGTAACTCTCAACAATGGAAGTTTGGTTTCTAAGCCCTGTTCTTTCTTACTGACTTTAACCGGGTAAAACAAAGGGTATAGCAAATCCAGGATTGGTTCTCAATATAGATATTAATTTAAACTCTTTTCTGATTGTAGTTTATCATTTACTTATAGATTGAGGTAGCTCATTCGATCAATATTAGCTATAATAAATAACAATAATAAAATAAACAACTTCTTTTCAAAATTGAATTCCATTCTGAAATCTCACAAGGGAGGTCATGGATTATTTAAAAGGAAATCACTTGAATAAACATCGTCTAAACATAAAACAATAGAGAAACTATATAAACTCATCTAGGCTGAAGAAACAACAGAAACATTTAGTACTAGATTAACTCATCTCCCTGGACTGATTTAAAATTAAGATAAACACTAAGTTAGCTTACTATCCAAAATGCCATTTCTTTCCATTTTAGAGCAGTGCTATCCCCCTGTGTAATTTTAAATTTTCTAGTAGCTAACCAAATTTAAAAAGTAAAACAACAGCAAAGACAGTGAAATAAATAATTTAACTCAGTATATCAAAATATTGTTTCAACATGTAATCAATATAAAATAAATGAGGTGGTCTTCGATATCAGGTGTATGATTTACATTCGCAATACATCTCAATTCCTACCAGCCACATTTCAAGCGCTCGATAGCCCCCTATGGCTACAGTATTGGGCAGGAGTAGTCTTTGAGGACTTCAGTATTAACTGATTCTTTTACATTCTGAGTTTGAGAATTCCTTTTATGTTACACGCTGCCTCTAAGGTGCTTAGAGATCTGCGAAGCACAAGGAGATTATTTTACTCTCGGTCCGTTGTGATCCAAGACTCCACAGCATTAGAACCAGCGAGGGAGGAAGGCAATGGGACACCCTGGAGCCCAGGAACGTGTTTTGGAGGAGGGCCTGAGCCGCTCCGAGTAATGCCCGGCGCAGCGGCTGCGAAACCAGCGTTGGAAGTTGGACTGCGAGACAACTCGGGGTCTGCCTGGAACCCCAGGTCTTTTCCTGGGGCGCCCTGGAACACCAGAACCGGACAAAGGGAAAGTGTTCTCCGAGTTGGATACAGGGACCCGCTCCGCCGACGGAGGCCGGCCCAGGGCTGCAGTGCTGCCCGCCCGGGTAGCCTCCGCCGGTCACTGAGAGGTGGGCGGAGGCCTGTGCCCGGAGGTGGGGGAAAACCCTGCCTGCGTCCTGGGGGAGAAGTCTCCCAGGGGCGCGCTCACGACAGTGACGCCACGGGCGCGAGGGCGGCAGGGTGGGCGGAGAGGAGCTGCGCGCACCGCCCCTCAGAGGCGGGGGGGTGCCGCGGTTCCGGAGGGCCGGGGCGGGGCTGGGTGCGCCGGGGAGTCTGGGCACGAGCCGCCGGTTTCGATTAGTACGCGGAGGTGCGGCTGCAAAGCAGAGCACGGAGCTACGCTGCCCGGAGCCCGGCGGCGAGGCGGCGGGGAGGCGG